GTTTGCTCCAGATTTTCCTTAGAATATAATTTATCATGTTTCTCTATTTCTATAAACTCTTTGTTGGATGAAAGTTTTAATTATATTCAGATTCACTGGAGAAAAGGGTTTTGTTTTGTGTTCTTTTCTTTTGAAAATAGATGTTTACAGAACTACTCTATAGTAATATTTTATTCTCCCATCAGGAGGCATATATCACCTGATTGTCTTTTTTGTGTGTGTGATATTACCAGCTACTGGTGCTCAATACCTAGATCCATTGATTCATTAGGGTTGCAAATGGAACCCTTTTTGAATTGGATGATGTTCTAGACACACATATGTATACACACATCCATATAGAGACATTTCTGGGAACAAATGTATCTCAAGCCAACTTTTGTCTTTCCTTTAACAATCTCTTTATTTCATTCTTACTTGTTCTTGACCCTCTCTTGTTATAAAAATCTCCTTTCTGTACAAAAACAAGATATGTATAATACAAAGTGATGGCCCAAATTTATAGTAACAACTTTCCAGGGGGTATACAATTATCTTAGAGGAGATGGGATACGAATAAATTAAGAGGAAAGAGGCATTTATGAAAGATAAGGAGGCCACAAAAATTGTGTTATCTGGGCTCAGTACAAATTTAAATCGGAATTCTTCCCAGGGAATGTTCATATCACGAAAGTGACATTTTAGAGCTAGGAAACATTTGAGATTTGAAAATTTTGAACAGGAATATGAGAAGAGAAACTGAAACATACCCCTAGTTTTAAAGTTTTCTGCATGAAAAAGACAAAAATACATCAATTCACTCATGTGTCTTTAAGAGCATGGGATTCAAGTGAAAGAAGCAGCAATTTGAGTTTTTTGTTTTGTTTCCTTTCTTTCTTCATGAAGCATGTATTATCTTAAGCCAGTTCAGCAATGCCATTACAACTTAGGGTCAAGCTGAGCAGTTTCATGCCACTTGACCTAACAACTTAAAGATTTCTTGAGTGACAGTGATAATATGCTGACTCCTGGTATGGGTGTTCTAATGTCTGTCACAACATGAAAGGTATTCATTTAACAGAGGAACAGCAGAACCAGATAAACAAGGCATGTGTATCTGATTGATTGCAGGGGTTGGGGAGGGTGTTTTCAACTCATTCAATTCAAGATAGAAAGTATTTGCTTCATGTAAAATGTAAAACATGCTGTGTTTGTTTTCTCCCATCCTATGGTGTAGGGGTTGGGGAGAGGTTCCTTTTTTTTAATAACTTTATTGAGATATAATTCACATAGTATACAATTCACTCACTTAAAGTGTACAATTCAGTGTTTTTTAGTATATTCATAGGGTTATGCAATCATCGCCACAGTCTAATTTTAGAACATTTCATCTGCCCTAAAACTAACATCATACTCATCAGCTGTCACTTCCCACTCTCTGTATGCCCTATCCCCAACCCTAACCAACCACTAATCTACTTTGTCTCTTTAGGTTTCTGCCTCTCATGAACAATCACCTTTTCATTGCCATTCACAGCTTGTCCCACGGAAATTCTTTTTATCTTATTTTTTACATTATCAATAAGAATAGAACAGACCCCTCAAAAACACGAGTGGGTATCAAAAAAATTCTAACAGGATAACCCACAAAAACATTGTTGAATCCAATAACTTCTGATGGCTTAAATAAATAACTGCCAAACAGTGAAGCTGTAGGAATGATGACAGGTTACAGCATCATGAAAGTCAAGTGCTAATAATTTTAAATATAAATTTGAAACAGGCTTGGCTTGCAGAAGCTTTTCTTGCTCATAAGAGCAACATTATCTTCAACCAGTAATTACTAGTTTCATTCAAATCCTGACTTCACCTCTCACCAACTATGTGACTCTGGACAAGGAACAGAAGATTTGTAACTTTGGTTTCCTCATCTGTAACGTGGGAATAATGATGATAACAACCTCCTGAAGTTAGTGTGGAGATTAGCACATGTACGGCTTTTATCACCAAGCCTGGCACATAATAAGTGCTCAGTAAACGGTTGTTGCATCACTTTTGTTCATAAGAACTCAGTGATTCAGGTCAAATTCTAAAATGGAATCCTTACATATGCCAACTTGCCACTTGCTACACGTGATTGGTATTTTCAAAGTCTCTATTCAGAGAAGTTTCCTGCCATGAGAGCATTAGATGGAGGTCCAAGTAAGACACAGCAGTGTAGAGGAAAAAATAGCATTGATCAAGTATGATTAACGGAGCTGTAAACCAGCCTTCAGTTGCTTGAGAGCCATGTGTTCTATAAATAGTAAAAGTGCTAATTTATTATTTTCACCTAACACTCATGTAACAGATTCTCCTTTTTTAAATAATAAAAAAAAATTACCAGCAACAAAAAGCTCATATAATGGTATTATACATGTCTAATAAAAAAATAAAGACTAGCGTTAGCGCATTATAAACCACCTATAACCTCTTACATTTGAAATGTTTAGCTAAGGCCCATAATGTGTGACTTATAAGTCTGTGAGTGTGAATGGAAGTTGTGATTTGGTTTTGTGCCCATGAATGTAAGGCCATTTAACCACCAATGATTCTATTACCTTCTCTTTCATTCCAATACAGAATGAGTTTGGGGAATAAGACTAATAAATTAGATAATTTTATTTTGAGCAATTATTATGTATTTTTCTGTTCTTTTAAAGATGTGATGCTAAATATTATTATATCCCAATCAGATGAGTCATGATACACAACATTTTTATACTGGGGAAATGTTAACACATTACAGTCCTTGCTTTGAAATGAAAAAAGAGTTAATCACAGACAACACATATTCATTTTCCTGTGACCCCATGAGACAAGTTAAATTATGTGGTTTGCATGTGCCCCCATTTTGGCCCTTAGACACCTCCACACTGTCCATCTGTATCTACATTTTAACCCCAGGCTTTCCTCCTTTGGGCACTGTTTTGTATTTGCATGAGAATTTGTAAATTTTTTTTTGCATGACAAGTCATCCATGATGTTGAAGTTAAATGTCTAACATATCTTGCAATACACATGTCATTAATTCTTACATAATTTTTTTCTTTTATTTTCAGTTACTGAAGTTTAAATATGCTTGAAAAGTAAAAGTAGCATGAAACTGGAGTGATGCAAGAATATTTAATATTCCTTTAATGACATCATTTTTTAGCTGGGAAAATTTGGGGGACAGTTCCCAGCCTGTCTCTGGACACAAATCCTCAATGACAAGTTCTGACAAAACTATATTGCACATAAGTGCTGTCAGCGGAGTCATAAATCCTACAGTAGTATTCCTTTTTACCCTGAGAATGTATATCTAATACTTGATATGTCACATATAAAATATGTTCCCTAATTTCAAAAATTATTAAATATTTGACTTAATTACTTTTTTCTTCAAGCTTTCTTAATGGGACATAAAAATTAAGCTCCACTGATTTGGTGAAGTTCCTGGCACCCAAAAAAGTAATGAATTACTGAATGAGAGCACCAACATTTTAGCACTTTAATGTTTCCTACATAAACATGACTATCAAAATGGATATCTGATAGAAAGCACATGAGTATGCAAAGAAACTAAGTAACGTACACTATTTAGTCAAGCTTCAAAACCATAAGGCATGCCACTGATTCCCTCCAGTGGATAAAATACATACATCTGAACAAGGGCTTTTCCTTCCAAGCTGGCCAGACATTTATTTCTCCCAGTTGCCATTGCTAAAACTGTTTTGGAACACCCCTTGTCAAATTACCTTCAAAGTCTTTGCACATTCATTTTAATACCTATATGGTAACAACTCTTGCTCTTTGGAGAGTGTCAGCGCCAGTCAAATAAGTATGGTAATCAAGCTGGTGAAACATTTTTTAAATGTTATATGAATATGAAATTATTAAGACTTGCAGAGCCTATGGCTTATAAAATGACTGTGAATTCATTTCCCAAAGAATAACCCCACAGCGTTTACATAACAGCAACAGTGGGAATGAATGAAATTTTCTTAAGGGGTCTTCTGGTCAAGCAAATGAATAAGTTCTAATATATGTCTTATATTATGTATATCTGTGTTACTTTTAATTAAGCCTCATTTAACCTAATGAAGTGGTTTACATTTTTAAGGACAGTCCTTCTTACAGTATTTTTTATCATGGCAGAATATAGGCAAGTAACCATTATTTCTCTCTTCCTTGAGTATCAAGTTAGTATCTTTTAATATCAGATTTGGGTTGACAGTGTCCCAGCTGTCACCAACTAGCCTTGTGATATTAGCAAGGGACTCAACTTCTCTGTGCTTCTGGCCCTGTTTCCAAGATGAGGATGTGGGGCTCATGTGTCTTTAAAATCTCTTTTGAATGAATGATTTTTATAGATCTGCGTGTGATATTATAAATATCATATATCATAAACCTACACACTTCTCTGTGTGTTTTAAATTAAATCCAAACCAAAATAACTCACATTCAACTTACTAAAAATGACATCTGGGCACTGATGTGTCTAGTATCTCTAAGAAAGTCTTCCCTACCTGATGACAATGATGACGATAAAGATGACATTTGTATAGCATGTTATGTTGATCCTGCCTCACCTCAGTCTCACACCCTAAGAGTTGCTGTCATTATCCTCCATTATACAATGAAGAAGATACTGAGGGTCAGAGAGATTCAGTTACCTGTCTAAGGTGATGGATAGCAAGTTGTAAGCCAGGACAGAAGGTCTGGGTCTTCCACTTCCAAGTTAAGACCCCTTTCCTCCATCATCATTTACCTGCAACCAGTCTTTTCATTAAGAGGCATTTTTTCCAAGAGGTCATCTTTCAGAATTTACACTCCTTGAAAATAAAATCTGCCTTCAGGGAGCCTCTGGTACCTCTTTAGACTATCCACTTGCGTCACTACAGCTCTCTCTGCTTTTACAAACTAGTTGTTTTGTCAGCATGAGTGTGACAACAATTAGACGTCCCCTGTTTTTGCCCCATGCCTTTTCTCCTTCACAGTCATTCAATGACAAGCGTAAAAAGAGCTTCATCTTTTCACGAAAATTCCCATTCTACAAGAACAAGGAGCAGAGTGAGCAGGAAACCAGTGATCCTGAACGTAAGTAGATTCTCGAAGAGAATGTCACATGCAACACAAGAGAAAAAAATTCTTCATGGGCAACACGCATGATGTAGGCTCCCGCACGCCACACGCCTAGGCAAACAAACACGGTAGGCAGGCAGGTCAGGGCTTACTACTGTGACCAGTGTTTGGCGGTAGTCTGGATCCTACCCTTGATGTGGCTCTTCTTTGCAGGATGCAATGGAGAGGGACTTCAGGAAGCTGGGACTTTGCTTCCAGCCAGCATTTTTCTGTGACCAGGGCTGGGTCTGGTTTGCCTTTTCTGTCCTACCAGCTCTTGAGGGCTTGAGACAAATTCTTTTCTGAACAGAAATACTGAATTCCATTGCCACATGTATGTTTTTGAATTCTAGCTCATTGAGAGCAATTAAATTGTCTGCATTGATTACTAGCCCTGCGTCTACACCTTCCCTCCCAGCAAATATTAAATACTTACTGGGCAGTGAGCTTGCATTGGTGGATGCTAAATCAAAGAATTTGTCTTAAAACTTGGGAGTGGAGCATTGCTCTGAGTGGTACATTTCTGTGGCAACATTAACAGTGGGCAAAAATGGCATTTGGTGAATCTTCTTCTTTTTCTCTAACAGTCTTATGATTTTTTTTTTTTCCTTAAACTCACCATCTTTTGAGTTGCTTTGCAAATCGTTGTGCCTCAGCCCAGGGAGTTTGGGTGAAAGTTGTTTCAAAAGAAGAAAGAGTGGGATCCAGATTGCTTAGGCAACATGGTCTGTCATGGTAGTATCCATTTCAACTCCACTGACTTCTTCCTTCCTCTTCCGTGGCTGTTCTTCCTCTCTCATTGCTCTCTCTGGGGACTTCCATGCAGGACATCCCCGGATTAGGTGACGACGGTTATGGAACAAAGACTCTGAGTAAGTTCCCAGGAATGGTCACTGTAACTTTTCTTTTCTTTTCCTTTCCTTTTGAGTTTGGCTTTTGTTCCTTTTCTTGAGGGCCTTTCACTCCTAGCATGCACAAGATACGAGTTTTATGTTACCTAGCTGTGAATGCTCCTACAGAGTAATTTCAACCGTTTTGTTCTGCATGTCAGCATTTAAAAGCCAAGTGTGTCAGGCACTGTAACTTCTGTTGCAGTTCACACCTTCCCTTTCTGACCACATGATGTGGCCAACATGGTCACGATGCCAACCACGGCATCCCTTGCTCTTACCGCCTAACACCTCCCAGAGAGCAAGAAGCCATGTTGAAAGAAAGGGTGAGCTAAATGTTCTAGAACAAGAAAGCAGAAATGTACTTTACGTCCTTTCTTTTGCCTTGGTAGCCAGAAATATTTAATGACCTTGCCGACATCCGTAATTGGGTCATAATTTGCTAGCAGTAAAGGAGCTATTTTATTGTCAAAGGGAACATGCCTTCTCAAAAAATAAACATTAAGCTATTTGATCTTCCATGGATAATTCTTTGTTATTAACTATGATTGATTTTTCTTTCTGACTTGCAGTGATCCTGCTTGAAACGTTTGTATGATAACGTTTTAGATATGTATTAATATGTTTTTCTATCAGTCACTTATTAGCTACATTACATAATCAGTTCTTCATTTTGTAGTATAGACTATAGAATAAGTATATTAAACCTTTAAATTTTCTAGTTATTAATGCCTTTAGTCTGTGTCTCATTGCACTGAGCAATAAAAATTAATAATCCTATGTTAATATACTGTGCTATGACTTTTCTTTCTTTAACACTAACTCCATTGTATAGGCACCAATGAAATAAGAACAGTTTTGTGTCTTTTGCAACTGTATCACATGCTCATTTTCTTGTTTATTTTGTTTTGTTTTAATTTAACAGCTATGGGCAATATTTTTAGAAGCTGTTCATTTCATTTGTATAAAACAAAATAGCATTGAGCTGGACTTTGTTTTCAAGAGCTGTTACTTAACCCTGTGTAATGATACGCCTCATCCCTCAGAGTGTTATTTTGGACTTTTTTTAGATATAGATATAGAAAACAAAATCTGATTAAGAGTACTGATCTTTTTAAAGATGAAAACTTTATCTTTGAGTCTGTGGGATATGTCATGAAATTTTTCTTGAATTAGTGGCTGAAGTTCAAGTCTTGATTTCAGTATTATCTGGATGGCACCCAGTACCACCAGGTTCTGGATTTTCAATGGGGGCGGGGTGCGGAGGAGAAGCATTTTAATATATTGTGAATAAATGAACATCTCTGAAAAGTAGTTGCTATTAGAATATCAAAAATATGAGCAATGACCTTTTAAATTCAGAATGTGCAAATGTTTGTTTTGTTTTTTAAAAAATCGAACAGATTTCACTAGGTGAAGTTATTTGCCAATTAACGCTATTGTCAACGATCATTTGGACTTTGGCTGAAACATGTTCTCAATTTCTCTTTACCTACACAATGGAAAAATTCTGTGATACAATTTCTTGATACTAAGAGAGATTGGTTAAGTAAAACATGCATAGATAGTGTAGATTTATTCTCAGTTATTTTAAAAGTGAAACAAACAAAAAAAAAATGACAATGGCAAGGACGACAACAACAGCAAACCCTGTCATCTCCAATTCACGGTACTTAGGATAACCATGTATATGAAGATACACCTTTGTTGGGTGTGTACCTTGATTTTTTTTCAACAACAAAATAAATGATCCCTGTGTCATTCACACTTCTTTCCCTAGCGCCCCTCTGCACTTGTAAAATGCGTGCCTAAATTAGCAACACAAAGAGAAATGATTAGTGTGATTTTAGCCCGTGTTTTGATTTTCCTTAGTTTCATTCTCTAAAACTAATCCTTGCAGGATGCATTAACTCTGTGAGAATCCTTCCACAATGTACACATGTATCCCATCATCACATTGTTCACTTTAAAAGTATTTTAATTTGTCAATTACACTTCAGTAAAGCTTAAAAAAAAAAAAGACTAATCCATCCAATTGGTGGCAATCTGAAATACATTTTAAAGTACTTTTTTTTATTAGAGAATTGTATCCTATATTCTTTTGCTTTTTCTAAAAATGAACAACAGTTGCTACTTTTTAAAAGCCTGGTTATTGCTAACGAGCTTCAGAAATCAGTCATATATTCTTCATTTAATTAACCTGATAGACAAAGGACTTGATACGATAATGAATGTATCTTCTATAACTTAATACAGGGTACAAATGAAATGACTTTTGGAAATAAAAGCTCTAATTCTGGCATATACATTGCTGTTATGTTAGCCAAACTGTTTTTATGAAAAAAAAATTTTGAAATATCACCATACCAGCAAGTTATTCAACATGAATTAAAAGCATACTTCATGCCAGGACCTGTGCTTGGTATTGGACCACTTATCACCTGCCTATTTCATTCCTCTAGAACCTAATAGCTATCCAAGCAAGAATCTTAAAATAAAATCCGGAAAATACTGAACTAATTCATAAACCATTTTTCAGCAACTCATTTCTTCCTTCAAAATTTTCTCCTCATTCACTGAAGCAGGAAAAATCTTCCAACTGTCCCTTTTTATCCTGAGAATTCGTTTAAGAAATATTTACATAGAAATAAATTTCACTGGGGCCCAGGGACTACCTGGCAATCTGAAATGCAGTGTTCCCCCCAAATCCCTAAAGGCTAACACAGAGAAACAAAAAGCTTGTAATCCAACAGTGGCTACACACCAGAAGCTTCTGATCTTAGCGTCAGGAAACATCCAGCTGAGACAGATGGACCTTTGTCACATGAAACTGGAAAACCAGGCCCATGTGAATGGAGCAAAGTATGCGGGGAAAGAAAAGTGCTTAGATTGACATTCTGTATTTTTTTTTGCAATTAAAGGTACTTTCCTGTTTGCTAAAAAGAAGACCCAACAATCAAGTAGTAGCTTCCTATAATGTGGAGATAAAGTTTTCATCTTTTGTACCGTATCTGAGTTTTCTTAATGCCACCTCTTCCGCAGCCTTTCCCGTGCCTCCCGCTTACACTTGTAGTAGCCTTGCATGAGTGTTATTCTTTCACGTTGGCTGCTCTCCAGTGCTTGGTATTTCTTTAATTTGCTGTGCTGTTCTTGCAGAACATGTCTCTTCTAATGCCAGCGATAGCGAAAGTAGCTACCGTAAGTTACTGCTTTGGTTTGTGGTTCTTTTCTTTGCGATTGCTCCATTGCCTGTGGTGGTCATTGCCCGTTTTTGCTCTGGTTGTGTTTTAATTGCTGCCCTTGATCATCCTCATCCAAAGCAAATGGCTTGACATGAAATCGTCGTGTGATGTGGAAAGATACAAAAGACACTAGGGCCGTCTGTGGACTCCTCTGTGCTGAGTGCAAGCAGTAGCGGGCTTGCTGGTAACCAGAAACAGTTTCCGCTTCAGCTGGCTCTGTCCTGGTGATGCGGTTCTCCCAGAGAAGGTGGGGGGAAGGCTCAGCCTGGCAGACTTGGACATTCTACCCCCTACAGTAATTAAAACTTCCTGCAGGGTGGTGGAAAAGTCATCATGGTTTTCTTTTCCTTCTCATTTTGCCTTTTTCTTTCTGTTGCCATCTTCCCTTTCCAAGAGAAATCTTGCAAAATTACTGTGGTCCTTTTAAATGGAGTGTGAACTTTTATATCTCTTCTCTCCTTGGTTAATATTCGAAGGCAGATACTATGATATATCTAACTTTATATTTCTCATGGTTGGGAAGTGATGAAAAAGTTTCATCCTCTAATGGTGAAGGAACTCACTTTTTTTTTTTTTTTTTTTTGAAAGTGAATAAATCTTAGATCAGAAAGCTTAACTTTCTGAAAAGGTAGGTAACTAAAAATTGTTCCTGGTCTTTATCTTTGTTTGGTCACCTCAAGCCATTTGCTTAGTGTATAAAAATGTTCACCAAACACCAAGCACATCCCTTTGATGCATTCATATGGTTTCTTACCACCTACTTACTGGGTTTGGGTGACTATCATAGGTACATATTACCACGGGGATCCTTACAACTTTTGTAATAGTTATTTGTCCTCCTTAGTGAAATGGGTTACTCAAAAAGTGATTACCGAGGATATTAGAAAAGTACAGGCCCAATACAATTGACCTACAGCCACCATGCCAGAAATTGGTTGGGATTTTTGTCTCCCCTCAAGCAACGTATTAATTAAAAACTAAAAGAGTTTCTGTTTTTGCTCTCCCATGACAGCATGGTACTTTATAAAACCATGCCTTTTTTGTGGTGGAGTGCCAACTGGTACTCTTGGAATATGACAAATTCAATGTGGATTTTGAGAAAGGCTTCATAGATTCAGATTGGTAGCAAATAGAAAAAAGAACAAAAGAAGAAAGGTTGCAGAGAGAGGTAGGGGCCGGAGGAGGAAGACGAAACATAGTACAGAATGAAATGGGAAAAAAAAATGTAATGAGATATCCTCAATAAGTGAAATAATATGAGAACCACCTAATTTTCTTCCTCAAAAGACTGACAAGTCTTGGTGACAGGAATCAGGGGGTTCTTTTTCTCAGCATGACCCTTGACATTTTTGCATTCTTCCAACTCTTATAATTTCATGATTATCCCAACTTGGCAAAACACTTGCCTCCCCCTTCCCTTCATTTAATTTTAAACAAAGAGATACCAGGCTAAGAAGAAGTGACCAAAGATTGCCTTCCTGATACCTGAGGTACCTCAACTTAGTATAAGGAAAAAAAAGAGCTTTTTGAGTTTTATGGGACCAATAACCCTAGTTTCTTTGATATGCAGGTCTAAGTATTGTACTTCTATTGTGCAGACACAAATATAGAAAGGGGAAACATCATATCTTGTTCTTTCAATTCTTTTTATGAAAAGTATATACAAGAACTACCTTTTCCTTTGGAAATCCTTTTCAGAGGCCCCTCTTTTCTCTTTCATGGGTAGGAATGTTCTTCCCAGAATCATTACGTTAGAAAAACTGGGCCAAAGCTTTCAGCTGTGTACAGGGTTTTTGGTAGTGATGTTCTAGGATGACATCAATAACTCTTCATTATCAAATAGTAGGTACACACAAATACTTACTGAGTGAAAAAAGGAACACTTGCAAGCCTCTTGAATTATCTATGAGAAGAGAGAAGAATTGGAACTGGACTCCATATTACAAGCGCAAATGTGGAGTGCAATAATCAGCATTGGTTTGGGTCTCATCTGAGGTTACCGATCACCACACAGATTGCTTGCTTTACAAATGAATGAAAGTAAGAACAGCCTTTGTCATAGCTTAGAGGAAAAAAATATTTCTCTCCCCAGGATGGAAATACAAGGAATTAAAGAGGAATATGTCTTTATTCATTCAGCATGCACCATATATCATGCTCTCTTCAAAGGCACCATGAGACCCAGTATGAACCTCAACCAACTCTAGAACTCAGCACACACACAGTGGGGAGAGGTATCGATAAACAGCAGCAACAACAAAAATGTGCAACATGTAGCAGTTTCTAAGAAAAAAAGTCTAGTTCAAGATGAGTAGGGGCTTCAGAGATGATTTCAGAGAGGAAGTGCCCTTTGAGCTGAGCTTCGTTGAGGGGCATGCCAGCTCAGTAAGTTAAGGAAGGAACTTTCCAGGCAGGTCCAGAGACTTGGAACAAATGTGGTTTCCAGAAAATTGCCATTTTGAAATCAACACGGGCTGCAGTTTTCTACTGAATTCCTGGGTTTTGCTGTAATTATAACAAACTTTTATGTTTTGTGGATAGCAGTATAAACAAAGACTAAAAAGACCTTTTCCACTGATGTCCAGGTGTTTTTTGTTTTTCTGTTTTTTTGTTTTTTTTACTCTTAGAACCATTCCATGTCCACTCTGGATCATTGTGCTTTAAAAAATGGTCAGTGGTTAGGAGCAAAGTCCAAGAGCACTATGTCTCATAGCTCCAGAGGCACAATTCACACTGTACCTTGGAAATATGTGTTGTGACAACCCTAACTGAAAGCCTCATCCATTACCTGAGATACACACACACACACACACACACACACACACACTCTTATGCAAACGTCAGTTTCTAATAAACAGCCCCGACCTTTCCTGCGCCATCTCAGGATTATAAAATAGAATTTTTCAAAGTCTGGCTATATCAAGCACTAGCTAAACTGCAGTTAATTACAGCGCACATTGTATAATGATGTGAAATACCCCCTCACAACCATCTTAATTAAGGACTAATTGCAGATTTCTGTCTGTCAACAAAATTGTACAGTACAGGCTTGTACTTGTGGCTGTTTTAATATCCTAGCTTTCAGATGCCCTTGTATTAGGACACAGTAATAGACCATATAGGTATAACGGAGACTGCAAATGTCTGCAGCTGAGACCTGCCTTCCTCAAAGCTCACAAAGTTCTTTACATCACAATGGGGACCGGGGAACTGCTGATTATCTCCATAACCTATTGGTGTTCATCAGTTACGTAAGAGTTTCAAAACACGGACCTTGAAGGAGCGATCTGAGTGGAACTAAATGCTGATCAGAGGAGACGTAATACTTTTCCATTGGGATTTGTCAAAGTTATGCCTGTATTCTTCTCCTTTCTCTGCTGTCTTCAATTATGGCCCTTGTATTTCCTCTAGTTGCCTTTATAAGGCAGTTTCTCATTATCTATTTTCTCTTATTTGATTTCTGCAACAAAACTGAGATATGTCTCAGGTTAACACTCCCTTTTACGGATGAGGAAGCTAAAGCTTTAAGAGACTACACGGTAGAGGGGCATTCTGGAAGACCAGCCGAGATATTCTGCTTCTGAATTCCTTACACTGTCCCTCTTCCAGACAGTTTGTAATGCCAGCTGCCTCATGCTTTACCCAGTACATTTCAACTATTCCGTACCACCTATCAAATTAATACAAGCAGAAACCCTTATATAGCATTAACGGTGCGCTAAGCCTGGCTTTAAGAGTTCTATGTACAGTAACAGATTTAATCTTCCGAACGTCCTGTGGAGACACTGAAACACTAATTCACTATGCGACCTTGAAGAAATCACTCATCATCTTTGAACCTCAGTTCTCTCCCTTGTAAATTGAGCAGCTTGAGTCAGAGCACAGATGGCAAGCAGATTTGAACCAAGATCCCGGCTTTGACCAATGGGTGATAGCTGCCAGAAGAATTGTACTGAAAAGTATGGAGGCCAGATCGAGGCCCAGTGGTAATGTGGGCAGTGATCAATCTGTGGTGCCCCCCAAGGGCATGGAATGGGGCAGGGACACCATGTGCCACGCACTCGCCATCTAGGAACCCTGTGAGCTCCAAAGCTAACATTCCTTGCCTCTAAGAAAATAATTTCTTCTTAAGAATCATCCCAAGCAGGCACTGAACACTACATTTTGAACATTAAATGTACTGCCCTTCCGTCCTGTCTCTTTTCTAGTTTCCAAGAATTCCTAAAGAACACCAAGTTGCTTTTCTCCATCATCTGGGCATGTGAGGGTCTCCCTCCGTGTCCCTCCTCTTGTGACTTGCTTCCAGTTCAGACCCAGAGGGTCTCCAGAGGGTGTCGTGGACACTGTAGGCAGACACCTCCGCTGACTGTCCCTCCGCTGACTGCGCCCGGCTCTGTGCTGCTCTCCCACTGCTAGCCGGGCCCTTGCCAGAACAAGACCAAGTAATAGTTTGTACCTATTTGTCAGCTGTTATTTCTAAGTGCCAACACCTCCTGAGCAAAAAATAGGAAAACTACTAAGGATGACTCTGTATGGAGATGACACAGCGGCATTTAAAAAAAAAAAAAAAAAAAAAAAAACAGCTGGTGTTTACAGATGGAGCCTCTTCTGGCCTCCCAGTGACTCTCCCACCCATTCTTTGTACATGGGTAAAGTTTGCCCCTCCATCGCAGTCCCATCAGAAAATTCTCCATCTCTTGCCATGCACTCAATGAGGAGTCCAAAAAGATGTGGTTTTACATCTCGACTCCCACTACTTCCTGACTGAAAACAACAAGCCCCATTAACACCTTTGAGCCTCAGTTCCTTCATCTGTAAAGTAGGGATCATCAGAGCATCTACCTCAACAGAAATAACTATGAGAAACAGCAATGGTTGTGAAAGCCCTTTACGGCCATACAGACGTGAATTATCTTACTTTCATAGCTGTGGCTTTTTTTTCCCCTCCTGCTCTTAGTCTCCTTCCCAATACCCATAGGGCTTTTCATTCCCAAACATGGAAGGAAAAATTGGTTTAACGTGCTGAGATCACAGTTGTGACATAATCCCATCCACCACAGCTCCCCCACAGGTCAGCTACTCCTAACCCTGTACATGACTGTCACAGGGTCTTTAGAAGTGGGATGGGCCTTGATGTAAGGATGCCGCCACTGACATCTGCCAGCCTTCCTGCTCTGAACAAGAACCAGGTCCTTTTGTAAGTTAGAAAGTAAAGCCAAAAGCAACAGATAAACAGAAGAACTACAGGACTCTCCAACAAAGTTAACCAAAGCTGTGTTGCTTTGTCCTAGTTTTCTGAATCACGAATGAAACATACCGTCACCAAATATTTTATTTAAGGCTTGCCTTTAGAATAGCCCATCAGAATGATTTGTAAGGACATTGGGAAGATTCCTATGGGAACATGACGTGTTATATTTATTTAGAGAAAACCACACTTCCCAGAGTGAAAGCATACAGACAGGAGCACAAAGGAAAACCTATCTTTGGCCTCATTACTCATCCCATTTCCTACCACTCAAATCAGAATGTAAATTCATTGACATTTTTCTCTGGGTTGAGCCCTGGGGACGCCATGGTAAATGAAAGCCAGTCCTCACCTTTATGGGGTTCCCAGTCTAGTAGAGAGGCATAAGTATCTCCTGATGTTTGAAAGCTTTGTTATCCTGTGCTCAGAAGTCCCCTCTCACGTATTAGTCAGTCCATAAAGCTCTCCCCATAAAGTTGCAGTCAAACACTACAGTACTCACTGGCCATGTTTCTAGCCCTAAAGCTATGCTTTGTCCCCTGGCATTTTTACACTTACCTTCTGAACTCCTATGACCTCTACATGTCTCAGGCTTTAGATAACTGTGGATCTTAGCAGTCAATCACCTTCATTATTTTTTGGCCTAGACTAAATTTCAGCTGTTTAGTTTATTAAAAGGGAATCATATTTTCCCAAATTTAAAAAAAAATTGTGACTCTGACTCCTCACATACCACACCCCAGATGTAGAAAAGTCCCTGAACATTCTTGGAGGAGCCATGAGTAGATGTCACTGAGAAGGACCATCAAGGCTTGTTCTCCATGCAATAAGGAAGTAGCTTAGCTAGCAGTGCCATTCTCAGAGTAAGCCTGCCTAAGGGGGAGGAGAGCTGTGACTTGGGCGTGGGGCCATTTCTCATGCTCAAAAAAGTAAGACACTCTCACCCTGCCCCATGCCAGCTACCTGGGTGCAGGGAAGACCTCTGTACTTCAGAGCTTTATCCACATATTGCCTATTTCCCCAAACTGGTTGTCATGATCAAAACTATCTGTAATATTCACTCCTTTTATGAAATTAACTCACCTTTCATGGTGCTGTCTGTTAAAGGAGGAGCACATTAGCAGCTGGGATGTGTTTCAAGGGGGACGAGCAGATAAAGCAATGAGTTGTGTTGTCCGTTGGTGGTTTCAGGAAGTACTACCTCCTATGGCACTCCTCGGTAGAACAGCATACAGGAAGTCCTTTCCAATACCGCTAAACTAGGACCCTACTAAAACACAGTCAGTGCTGGGCCTAATACAAAGAAAGGAGTAGATCCTCTGGGTTCACAGTTGATCTTGGCTAATCTTGTGCCCAGTTTATTAACTGGGTAACACAGATGTTTGAAAAAATAATTGCCTAAAGCCAATTGACTTGCCATGGTAATCGATTGACTTGAGGCCCCCGTGAACCAGAAGGCTTGTAGTAAATGTCACTGGAGGGCCTGACACTTATACTACATTATCTTCCTCAGTTCTCTTTCCAAAGGTGATAGGCTAGATGTAGTAGCCATTCTGATCAGTGATTTAAGGTCCTCCTCAAATTTTTTATCTTCTGGAACCAACCCAGCATTTTCCTGATGAATTAACAGTAGAATAAAATCTTCAGTGTCCTGAGGTTTATACTGATGGAGTTCTTGTCACATAAATGAACCAAGCAGACACTTGCTTTTGGCCAGTATGCTTCTTTGGGAAATAGAAGATGAAATAAAAGGTCCAGAAATTCTGATAATGTAGCAGCAAACTATTGGATGAGCTTGAACGAAATGGTTTCGTTTTAAGTGTAAGTAATAGGAGCGCCACTCCTCAGTGTCAGACAGAAGGCAGTCTCATAGGTCACTGCTCTGGTGAACTGCAGGTGGCTAGTCTCTATCATGACTGATAGTTATAACCTTCAAGAACTTGATATTATCATAGTGCTGGAGTTTTATGAAGATGGAGGGATTTTTGGAATGGCTCCAGGAGAGCAAGCAAGGAAAATGAACCCTGAACTGTGTCTGTTTCCTGTGTTTCAGAGCAGGGCTTGTGGCTGGGATCTGTGGGATATGACTGGTTGTTAGTTCACTGTAATTTTCCTTTCTTCTCTTCTCAGGAGGGCAAGAAGACTTCATTCTTTCTTATGAGCCTGTCACAAGGCAGGAAAGTAAGTTTCCCAGCGTGCTCTGGTTCCTGATTTCCAGGCCATATCAGGTGACACCATTAGAGGAGCCAAAGAGTGAAGGATTAAGGAGGATGAGCTGTGCTTAATATCCAACTGTCCCCAGCCCAGATTGTGCTCTCTCTTTGGCACGAACAGCTTCCCTGCTAACCAGGGACAGGGGCAGCTCCCAGGAGGAAGAGGCAGTCCTCCAGATTAGTGGTCCTGAGTGGAAGGAGCACCTTAGAATCACTAAACAGCCCCGCCTACAGCACAAATGGATAAAATCTCCTGGGAGACTGAAGTCTCAGCTCAGTATTGAGAAAGGCTTTCTAGCAGACCTGTCCTAAGATACAAGCCATCCTCTGGGCGGCTCCATTTCTTTTTCTGGGAGGCCTTTATACAGAGGCTAATGGCTATGGACAAGGATATTGCAGAGAAAATTCAAGAGTTGGAGGATGAATGGTACCAAATGGACTTTAGTGTTCCTTCTACCTTCGTGTTACAAAGGAATTGGGAAAACTCTAGCAGAGCTATAATAGGGAGCATTTTGAGCTGAGGAAAACAAATTATAAAAACCTACGGTGTCATTATGCTAACAATTACTTCTTAAAGTCATTATCTAAACAATGGCCAGAGAACTACTTTGGAATCTTTTTTCTCCCACGCAATTGACTAAATTCAGTAGTTGTTTTGACATTGTGTAGGCATAACTTAAGAGTAAGCAGAACCCCTCCAAACGTTTCTTTCCATTGACAGATACTGCAGTTGCTTTTCCCTATTGCTAAATTCCAGAAAGTAGGCACAACCAGCACACCGAGTGTTAAACACCAATTTCTCCTGCCAGAACGCACGGGCAACTTACACAATGATGTAAAGCCCTCAGCGGTTCTGTTTGGTAATTTCACCTTAAGACTCAGCGGGGCAGAGCAGTCGTGCGGTCCTGTGCTCGTCATTCCCCCTCACTTGCATCTTCTCCTCTCTGCAGTAAACTATACCCGGCCGGTGATTATCCTGGGCCCCATGAAAGATCGGATCAATGATGACTTGATATCCGAATTCCCCGACAAGTTTGGCTCCTGTGTGCCTCGTAAGTATCGTTTCTCTTCTTGTGGCAAGAAAGGCTCTCCCGCTTTGAGACAAGAAAGTGTAAATCTGTTCCTCAGTGGCATCTTCAGTGATTCAAATACGATCAGTTACCTTTTATCTGAACATCTTTTTGTTTAATCTGAGCATCCTATTTCCTTTTCTCTGCTTAACACTTTTCATCCGTGCTGTTGCCTATTCCCTATTTAGTGAGTATAAGATGTCCTCCAAACTGCCTGTGGTCCCCCAGAAGGCAGGAGGACTCTTTTCATCCTGTAACTCCCATGGCCTTTAAAAGAGCATAGAATTATTGATAGGCATTAGAATGTTCTTATAAACTGATAGAAATCTCACTGAAGCTTCTTCTCCCATAGAATAAGAGAGATCAGAGACAAAGCCATGTATTAAAATCATCTCAGGATGGCTTAGGGCCATGTGTCAATCCCAAAACAAAACAGCCTTTTCCATGGCTGATAACAGTGCTAGAATATGAGAGGATGAAGACAAGAAGTCGTGTAAAACTTTCATCTACCTTCTAGGCCATCACAGATTTTAGTCTGCGTTCTTGCCCTGATGGAGGATCACGGGTCTCCTGGTCCCACTAAGTGTAGCCCCCTAAGAGTCTGTCTGCTCTGCCTGCCCTGCACACCGCACCCTCCCATTCACCCCTACTCCCATGGCATCACATAAAAGTACGGAGAGGCCTTCTGCTGTGTGTGTGTGTGTGTGTGTGTGTGTGTTTAAACAGAGAAAGGAATTTCAATGTGTTAGATAACTGAGCTCTTAAACCTATCCCAACAAATGTTTCTTCCTCTCTGTGCATCTTTGAAGCTTCATGCTTTGAAGTGTCTCATACATTTCAGCACTACAGATGTCATCCAGAATAACTAAGAATAGTGGGAATCTCTTGGAACTAGGGTGATTGCTGTATCTCAAGAAATTGTTCCCAGCAAGGACTCTGGGAAGAGATCCTGCCAAAGAGCCTATCTTGAGAAAGAGACCAGACAGAAATGATCAGGTCAAACCCTACTCCATTCATAGCAGCTTCCTGTGCATCCCTCCACCTTAGAAAGAAAAAGCCCAGACAGTCCTTAATGACCACTCCCACTTTCCCCTCCACCTGGCACTTTTTCTTTTGTTTTAATTATTAGCACTGTTTTATGATGCTCAATATATGTTCATTGTACAAAACCTAGAAAATGCAAAAAAAATGTTAAGCAAGAAAAATAAAAATATACAGACTTTCAGAGTATCCAGAGATAACACCAATTGTTAATATTTTCATAGATTTTCACCTTTTTCTTCTTTCTATGCATGCATTCTCTCCTCTGATTGGGTACATATTAGATATATACAGTTTCTTTGGCTTAACATTATTTAAAGTTTTATGTAAATATTTTAAATGATTATTATGTCATAATCATTCCTCATTTATGGGTATTTGGGTTGTCTCTCCTTTTCACTCTTATGAATTATAATTAAAGTATAATTATAATTATGTGATAGTTATTTATAATTTATAAATTAATATATTGAACATCTTTAAGGATAAAACTTTATCTGAAGCTTTGATAATTTTTTAAGATAGATTCCTAGGAAGAAAATAGCTGAGTCAAAGATTGAAAAGAGTTGAACATCTTTTATTTATACTGATAGGTTTGTTTTCCCTTTTCTTCCTACTAAGAACTTCAGTTACCTCTAACCATGATTAGAGTTAATGACTTTATGATCTCCTATTATATCTTTCAAATCCCTAAATATATTTTTATTGTTTGTCCAGTTTTTCTCTCCTGGATATATGACAAATTTTCCTGCTTTTTTGCTTGTCCCATAATTTTTTATGGTGAGACTACATTTTTGAGAGTCTGGATTCGGTTATCTTTCTTTGTAGAATATTGTGTTTTTGTTCTGGCTGTTCATAACTTACTGGCAAATCACCTTCTTCAGTTCTAGACCCTCCACTTGGAAATGGAGGTGGAATGAATGGAGAGTTCCCCTTGTGTGCATCTCCAGTCTCAAGGTCACAGCCCTGTGCTGTCTGTCTTGTCTACCTTCTGATGCCTGACAGTAGCTACTCCATACACTTTGTCTAGTTTTGTAGTTGCTTACAATGGGAGGCTAACTAGTACCTGTCATTACATCAGGGTCCTCCATATTACATATTTTGTATATCTATGTGGAGGGTATGGTGAAGAGAAGAGGTATAAATGCTGTTTATGAATATAAATTACCTTAATTTTATTATTTTTGTTTTATAAAGATACTACGAGGCCAAAGCGTGACTATGAGGTAGATGGCAGAGACTACCACTTTGTCATTTCCAGAGAACAAATGGAGAAAGATATCCAAGAGCACAAGTTTATAGAAGCTGGCCAGTACAATGACAACTTATATGGAACCAGTGTGCAGTCTGTGAGATTCGTAGCAGAAAGGGTATGTCCGCCAATCATCTTACACCTCCCTTAAAGAAGGCTCCCGGGTGGCAAACTGCATCTTTGGTCATTACTCTTCCCTAATTGCAGTTGTAAATTTTGATTAAATATTCCTTTTAAGACCTCTAAGCGGAGAATGACTTTAGAGCAAGGTCATTAATCTTTGTTCCAATCTCAATAAGGTATGCTGACTGACTTGTGGGGAGGAGGGGGTTATAAACCGAAAGGCAAATAACAGCTTGAAGTTTATGGAGATTCACTTTGTCCTTGACGTACTTATCGTCGGCCCCAGTAAACAACATTGAATGTGTTAAGGAAGCTTTAGTACTCTTGGTTGTTTAAATCAGGGTCCTCAATTCCTTTTGTTAGCAGGAGTTTCATTTCATTTCCCTGAACACGTGGGGCCCTCAGGACCCGCCTGGGGGAGGGGTAAGTAGATGAAGAGGGCTAGGGCCTAGCTTCCAGCTGGCAGAAATTCCAACTGAGAGGAGGTGTGAATACCACCATTCCCTTCCCATTGTTAATTTCAAGGCCATGCAAGGGAAGAGAATGTTCAAGAGAGAACAGGATAGGAAGACACTTGAGTGTGGCTCTAAAATCTGCTTATAGAGAGATCCTAATCTCCTGTCAACACAGATGATCAGTTTCATGAGAGAAAAGAGTTAAGAACCAATCCTGTTTGTTATATAATTAATACTTGTTGGGTTGATTTTATGTGATTTGACATAGCCTTTTCATGTACTGGTAAAAAATTAAACAAGAAATTTTAAGGGCTATCTGAGAATAGAGTAAGCTGCATCTCTTCCTTTCTCTCAAAAGTTAGGTTTTTTAAGCTCTATCATGTTGTTTCTAATCAGATTCCTGAATGCTTTTGTCTGTTCTCCCCTTTGAACGTGTAAATATGACCTCTTTTAACTTGAAATGTTCTGGGCAGTGAATAATTGAACAGCATTTAGACATTTTGTTTAACTGTTGCATTTCACAGAGAGCAAACTTGGAATTTATTGCTTAAGTGATACAGGGTTTGAACCATCTTAGTATATTTCTCCTATAAGAGCTCAAGTATTCACTAGTCTCTTTGTTTTCACATGAGTATTCACAGAAAGTTTTTAATCCCCTACTGTTGATTTAGGACTGTTCCTATCTGCACAATATCCTTTTTCTCTTCTTTTTTTAAAGTTCTTTGGGCCGCCGGGTAAGGAGGCCATTTCTCTCCAGGAGTTAGAATATGATGTTTGCCAAATGTATCTACTTTTCCCAAAATACTTTATAAAGCAACTCCTTGCTCTGAGCACGCATTGCAGTGGAACCCCAGTTAAATGAGGCATGCGTGCTACCTGCAATAGGGTTTTCATGTAACAAACAAGAAATTTAAGGATGTAATAGTGAAGGTAACTCTTTGTGTCCGTCCTCAGCTGTACTAGACTGAGCATACCCAGGCAGGATACAAGAAGCGCTCAGCAAATATGTGTGGGATTGTTCCAAATTCACATGCTTACTGTTCCTCCAGATTTAACATCGGTCAGGATAAGAGAGTGAGGTATCTACTTATTCCAGCCAACGGTTCTGTCAGTACTCAAGACTTGACTTTGAGTTTTTCTGGCACTGAGACTTTGGGCAAGTTACTTATGATTTCTAAGCTTTAGTCGTATTTTCTGTAAAATGTGGCTGGTAATACCTCCCTCATAGATTTGGGGATTTCTTGTTGATGGTTATCTTGATGGTTTATGAGAGCTTCATGAGTGGACACAATCACATTACATAAGGCTACATACCTTCTTTGTACAAAAGATCAGGTATTTATCTAAGAAACTTAAGCTGAGGTGACACCTGTGAAATCTCTGTGGCCATGGCAGGCACTTCCTAAGGGACTTGTAGAAGCATTCAGTGAGGACCCTGAATATCAGCCTTTATTTGAGCTGATATTTATCAGCTTTGCAAAGATCTTTTTTCAGCCTTTAGAGATTCAGTATCCCTTACATTCCTTGAAAACATACTCACTTTTTGTTTTGTTGTTGGTTTATTTTGGTTGGATTATTATCCCTCTTTCTGGATTAACTCCATATTTTTCTTCTCTTTCTACCAGGGCAAACACTGTATACTTGACGTGTCAGGAAATGCTATCAAACGGTTACAAGTTGCCCAGCTCTATCCCATTGCCATCTTCATTAAGCCCAAATCTCTGGAACCTTTGATGTAAGTGGAGGGCACGGGAGACCGTCACCTACAGCCTGTTCCATGCGACACAGCAGATTGCTGACAGCTCTTGGTCATAAGTGCTTAGAAGTCAGAAGTGCTATTGTTGATTTTTTTTAAAGCAGTTCCGTTTTGAAAAAAAATATGTGGAAGTGTTTTTGAACCAGTAGAGGCATAATGTCAGTATTCCCCTAACATGTCTTCACTAATGTTTCTTGATTTTAATGTTCATTTCACAAGTTGGTGTGTGTGTGTGATATTTCTTTTGTTTCATTTTGTTGTTATGAAGGTAAGTTGGTTTGTTTTGGCTTTCAAATGGTAGGAAGCAATCATCTTTGCCTGTCTCTTTCTTCTGAAAGCAGTTCATTAGTAAATCTTTTTAAACATGTGGGTTTTTCTAGAGGGAGAAGACAATGTTTTAGACTCTTTCTATTGATATTTCATTTAGTTCTAGCATAGAATTCTTCTGTTCCTTAATGAAAACCTCCTGTATGTAGACCACTATCCTTAAAAAGGGAGTTTTCTTAGTGACACAGCAGGAACACATTTATAACTTAAACCAATAGCTCCATACTGGTTCACATTTATGAATAAGGCAAAAATGTGTGACTCAGATTTTTTTGTGTGTGGTTTTTATTTTTCAGAGGACTGGCAAAAAGCTTTCTTTAAAAGCCACTAAATAAATCGGGCAAATATTCCCAGATAGACTAGAAAGTAACATATTTTCAGTGGCAATTTGTTAGAAATTGTTGGCACTGCTTTCTAGACAACTCCCATACAAATGTGAGGCTGCCGTAGCCAGAAAGCAGGGACTTGAAAATTGGTTGGGCTAGGTTTGGTTTTTCCCTTTCCTTTTCCCTTTTGCTTCTTCTGATCAGTTAATGTCACGTCAGACAAGTTGCTTGACCTCTCTGAGATGTAGTTCCTCTCCTGTAAACTAGGCACATTAATAATACATACCTCACAACTGGTATAAAGGTTAAACATGAACATGAATACGAAGCCCTCCATAGGGTCTTTAGCATATAGCAAGCACTCCATAAACAGTAGCTGCTCTAACTGTGAAATTTTCAAGTTACTTCATTGTAAAAGGAATAAAACTATTTTGTCATCATAAAACACATAAACTACCTTTCCAAGAAGTCACAAGAGATAATGCTGGTGTGTGTGCTGGCAAGAGCTTTGCTCAAATGTGCCTCCATTGGGCCTCGAGATCTTAGAGTGTTTGACAGGATTCAGAAGTGAGCCACAGAGTCCTAGAAAACAGTGCATGTGGAAAAAAACAAAAAAACAAAAAAACAAAAAAAAAAAGGAAATTACTTAGTCCCAGAAGTGAAACAATTACTTGCAGAAGGTATCAGCCAACTGTTCCACATCTCATCCCGGAGTAAAGAAACAGCAAACTACAGAAGCTGCAACTACAGCCTAAGAGAATTAAGTTAAATCCACTGTCTCTGGGGAAGTTGCCAGAGAGGTGTCTTAAAAGCAGAATACGTTCCCATAAATAAAAGATGGACAAAGGTTCTTACCACGGGTCACGGACAGTACCTTCTGCCCCGAGAATTTAGGTGTTAACTTATAACGTCCAGAGCTTTGCCCAGAGTTGGCACATGGAAAAATATGTGTTGATGTTAAAATACTGGTTCTGGGTAGTATTATGCCTGATAGCACTCTTGAAATCTCTCCTCATCTAGGATACAATAATTTAAGCAACCACACATTTCATTATGTGAAAGTGATTTATAATCTGTAAAGAGCCTCATAAATATTATTAACAATGCTAACATTAGGAAGAAGAAGAGAAAAATGGCCCTCACCTCCTGGCCACAGGACCTTAAAGGCCCATTTCAGAAAATTGAAGGTAACTTTTCACGTCATAAATATGCAGTGGGATAAATGGCTTCCCAGGGCGGTGAGGCCTGAGGGAGAAACAGCAGTTGCACGTTTGCCTCCATGTGACATTGGGGAGACATTCCCATCTGGTGCTCGGTAGGAGAAGGTCTCCTTCCATCCACAACTATGAGATGACTTATTCAGTTTTGCCTTTGGGCACTATCACAGCCACTTATCGCCAAGGAAAATTAAACATACCAATGGCTGGATTCCACAATGAGGACCGTGAATCTGAAATAATTTGCTGCAGCCATATTCTTGAGTCTCAAGTGCAGTAACGGTGACATTCAAACTGATGGGATCTTATTATGAAAGGCTGGATGTTTACTTTCCAGCTGCCTCTTTTCCAAGGGTTTTACTTCAGGGGAAAAGCAGCCATGGTTTGCCCATACCCCGGGGAGGAGTGAATGCTAGGTCAGCCGGAACAAAGGCATGGCAGCTGTCGCATGTAGGCATTGATACATCATGACACACAGTATTTCTCAAGTGCATCATCTACATCAAACCACAGAGCTTATTAGCACATACATAGCTGACTCTTCAGGGAAGCATAAAAATCAAGGCTCTGGAGGAAAAAGATGTTCTTTTTATAGTGTGCCACCACGTGACCACTGTGCCTCACCCCACCCCATGGCAGTGGGAAGCTTTCCCGTGTCTCTTTACCTTGCCAGCCCCAGTCTGCTTTTACCTTCTTGCTCCCATGGTGGCCCATGTTTTCTTCTGTCTTCAACTGTATCATAATTATGTTGATTTGTCAACATAAATGATTCATTCATTCATTTACTCATTCAACAAAGAAGTCTTGAGCCAGGCTCCATGACACACACTGAAGAACAGATCCTGGTCTCCGCCCTCAGTGAACTCACAGATTATGCACGGAGATAAGGAATATAATAGATGAGGTGCTAGAGGGTAAAAATGGAAATTCAGTGATGGATACAGTAAGTGCAAAGAGAATTCAGAGAACGCAGGCTAGCATGAGCCAGCAATGTCAAAGAAGATCCCGAGCCACATGGTTTCCTGACATCTGGAGCAAAATCCTGTCTTTCTATGAAAAATATCCCTGGATTTAGCCCAGCGTCTTCCGGACCCAAGGGTGACATCCACTCACAGCTTCTAGGACTAGTGCTGTTTGGGAGGAGAATCGCAGATACCATCCCTCAGGACAAGATGAGTTTATCTCAACATCAAGAGTTCAGAAAATTCCTATTTTTTTTTTTTCTGTTGCAGCCATCAGATCCTGTCAAGAATCATGTTAATGTCTCACTTCGGTTTTTTTAATTTTTTTCCCAAATAAGGCCCTTGGGAAAGTCTCGGTATAATACAAAGTCTGTTTGACTAAAAGTTGGTTTTAAAAGAACCCCAAAACTTTGAATCTGACTTCAGATTTTCTCTTTTAGCTTCTCAAGTCCCTTTATTACTTCAGGACACAGTGACATGTCCCAGACCCCAGTCTCTGGCTCCCTCAGGGGCACGCAAGGGCAGCAATGCTTTCAGTATTCCACGTGCCCCTGTGATGCATCCCAGTTGGCCAACCAAAGTACCTCTGCCCTTGGCTAGGCTTTTATCAGCCCGGAACAGCCACACTGTTGTTCAGAAGATGATCAGAGACAAGCATTGTCAGTCTTTGACTAATAAAATGTCTTTGATGGAAAAAAAAAATGGGAAGACAATATAATTTTAAGAAGTACAGTTTGTTTGGTAGGCAAAAATTTTTTACCACCTAGAGGACATGGGAAGATAAAGCTGCCACTGGTTAGGAATCAGTAGATTGGGTTATTTTCCATTTCCTTCCCACTCAGTTTGTCCTTGAGGTTGGATTTAAATATTCTTACAGTGATTAAGCAGCATTTACATACAGCAAGAGTTGACAGACTAAGAGAAAGAAAGGGACAGAGAGAGAGAAAATCCCAGGCATAATTCCTTTATCGCCCATTCTCCTATCAGAACAAAACCAAGTCAACATTGGAGACTCTTACCAAGACCCTCTATCCTTGTTTGCTATGGAGGTTAATGCTTATAATCTGTTTGGAAGTGTTTTGATCCCAGCGTGTGTGATTGTTTCATTCTCTCTGTGTCCATTTATTCACGCCTCCCTCAGCTAGTCCTCCTAATGCCGTTTGATTATAAAAGCAGATGAAGTTGAGGACGCTTGGGTGGCTCAGTTGGTTAAACATCCAACTCTTGGTTTCTGCTCAGGTCAAGATCTCAGGGTCAGGTGATGGCTCTGCGCTCAGCAGGAAGTCTGCTGCCCCTCCCCCTGCTCGCTCTCTCTCTCTCTCTCCCTCCCTCTCTCAAATAAGTCTTAAAAAAAAAAAAAAAAAAAAAAAAAACCATGGTGTTCAGGGCTCTTGTTGCAGTAGATATGCCTCGCCCTTTGCAGAAGTTGAGCCAGGAGAGCCGCAGAAGACCCCTTCCACCTGAAAGATACAATGTCTAAGGGGCCTGTCACATTTTCTCTGATTCTCGGGAAGCCCTTTCTGTTTCTCCACTCCACACGCTTCCTGCTACACCCTGAAGATGAACAGCAGCCCATGGGGAAAATGGGGAGCAGAGCACTCAAAGGTTCCCGGGAGGGCAGGCCCTGCCGACAGTCAAGTCTAGTTCTCTCAGATGTGATGAAATACAGACTGCGATGATGTCCCCTCCCTTCTCACCATCTCCTCTCGCCACCTCAGACCACCCCTAGAAGATTTCATTTGAGATTTCATCCCATGTTTAAGAGAGGTCGAGCCAGTCTAGGACAAAGTCCAAGGAAGGGTAACCAGAAAGGTTAGCATTTGGAAATCACATCCATTGAGAGAAGAGATGAAGAAAGTGGGACAGTTTATTCTGAAAAAGTGGTAGCCTCAAGGGATATATGAGCACTTGATTTAATGACCCCAGTGCCTGTCATGGAGGGAAGGGGTTTAGTCCTCCTCTGTGTGACTGCAGAGGACGGCACAGAGGCCAGTGACTGGAAGTCATAAAGGGACACATTCAGCCTCTGTGAAACCAAGAGGCTGCCCTTTGAGAGGGGGAGCCCTCTCCAGCAAAGAAGAGTCCCAAATAAGGACTAGGAAGCTGCTAGTAAGATTACACTGTGCTTCCTGCAGGATTCATTTTTGCCACACATTTTAATTTTTCAGGATTTGGCACATTCCTGTGTGCTCTAATACCAAACCCTTATTTTCCCAGGGAGATGAATAAGCGTCTAACAGAGGAACAAGCCAAGAAAACCTATGATCGTGCAATTAAGCTAGAACAAGAATTTGGAGAATATTTTACAGGTAAGTTCATATACCTTTATACTGTGAGAAAGGATTGACTGTCTGCCCTTCGGTATTAGAGAGCGCTCCAGGCCTAGTATACCTGGGCCCTAAAAATGTCCCACTGAGAAACCCTAATTTCCCTCTGCTTTACCTATCTGATCCAGAACTCTGGGTTCCATCTACTCTGGATTCACAGGCAGCTAACTCTGGGTTCCCACTGGCCCTGTGCTAAAGCATGAGCCACAGATGGCACTGAGATGTCTCCTGCTCTCAAGCTCTCAGATGGGGCACCTGGTGGCTCAGTAGGTTAAGCATATAACTCTTGATTTCGGCTCAGGTCAAATCTCTGGGTCCTGGGATTGGGCTCTATGCGGGGCATGGAGCCCGCTTGGAAATCCCTTTGCTCCTCCCCCTTTTCTCCCTCCCTTAGAGAAGGAGAAGGAGGAGAAAGAAGATTTTAGGCATTAAGCTATCTTTCTGATATCATCAGAAAACTTGAAAAAGAAACCTTTAGAGCTCAATTAGGGAACTTCCAAAGCGCTACCTCTACTGAGATGCAGTCTCAGGGCTCCCTTCTCAGCCTCAATGACGGGCAGGTCTGCGTCCCGTTAGCAGCAGTTGAACGAGCTGTTGAACATCTGTTTTTATTGATTCCATGTCAAGTCCCAGGGCAAAACTTTGCTTTTCTTTTTGAATATTTCCTTGGAAACATGAAGTTTGGGGAATAGAGGAAGATTTTCTGACACCGGGTATCCTTGATTCTCTATTCTTAACGATGTTCATGAAACACAGATCAAATCCAAAGAGTGATCAAACTGTGTGGAAATTGCCTTACAACAAATGGTTTAAAAACAAGAAATTTCCTTCTGAATTTCCTTATGAGAAGTTAGATGCTTTACCGTTTTTCTTACTCAGAATATGAAAATGCCAATGGCTTAGCAATCTGCAAATATTTTGAACCAGGTAATCTTGAGTAAAATTTCAATCAAAAACAAAGGTATGAGTCATGTTTTATCCTGAAAGAACATCCAGGTATAAACATCAAATCACAGTCATGCACCTTTTGACTGGTGGCTCACACTCAGAGATAAATTCTCAAGGTTGTTCTTGAAGATCTAAACTATGTTTCAGTAGCAATTCATTGTTATTCCCTAATGTCCTATAGATAATACTGGCATGTGTTGGAGAGCTCTCTGTAAGCTAACTTTAGTTCAGAGGAGGTTATGAAATACGCTTAAATCTGCTTCAGATGACTTGGCATTCTAGGTAATTCATGGGTTAGCTGTTTGTTTATATTTCCTCTTATTTATATAAGTTTCTTGTAAGTAGCTGTCATAAGGCATTCTCACTATGAGCAGCCCTGGTATGGCAAAATATCAACTTACCAGATGACTTGGAGAATGAGTGGGGTCTCCTATTAAGGGTTTAGGGGTTGGAGGGGTTAACTCAAGTTGCCTCCATAACCTTATTATTTCCCTGTGTCAAAAACGTCTAAATTTCTGCGTCTGCCAAGGTAAATAGAGTATATAGAATAAAAGGCCAGCTTTCTTTGATAAGCAGAGAGATCTCATTCTGAAAATTGATCCATGCCTAGCCCAGAGTAGGCACCCATGAAATTTATTTATTTTTTTGTTTTTTTGTTTTGTTTTGTTTTGTTTTTTGGCATCCATGAAATTTAAATACATAAATGATTCATTGTCCAGAACCACAGACAGACATGTAGAAGGTAGAAAGACTGTGGTGCATTTGTTACCTGATCCAGGACATGCATTGAAAGCTTTTTTTTTTTTTTTTTCTTTTACTCACTGACGTGACCTTGCTTAAGTAAATTTCCCACTTTTCCTTCCTTACTAATGAAAAGTCATACAAAGCTTCCATATGAGTTCATCTGTCACTGGTTTGGGCTTCTGCTGTGTGATTGATGGGTGTTCTTCACCAGGCAGGGAATGATTCCTAACCGTGGCGTGTTGGCTCTTGTTCTAGCTATTGTCCAAGGAGACACCTTAGAAGATATATATAATCAATGCAAGCTTGTTATTGAAGAGCAGTCTGGGCCTTTCATCTGGATTCCCTCAAAGGAGAAGTTATAAATTAGCTACTGCACCTCCGACAATGACAGAAGAGCATTTAGAAGAAAAAAATATATATAATATACTACTTGGAGGCTTTTATGTTTTTGTTGCATTTATGTTTTTGCAGTCAATGTGAATTCTTATGAATGTACAACACAAACTGTGTGAAGCCATGAAGGAAACGGAGGGGCCACAGGGTGGGACAGAAAAGACTTTGCAGTATGCAGGAAGGCTTTGGTTTGCTCAAAGTGCCAGGTGTAGGGATGAACCTCTGATGGGCTTTCTGCCCAAGAGATGGGCAGCCTCCTCACCCCAGCAGATGTCCAGAGCTGATTTAGCCGCTGAGCTCTCTGTGTCTTTTGCTTTAAAGAAAAGTTGTCAGCACTTGAACTTCACCAACCTTCCCATTACCCACATCTGTAATTGGTACACTTCGAATTTTATAACTATGCACACTCTTTGATTTCTTAACGAGCAAAAGAAAGAAACAAGGAAAAAGGAAAGGAGTCCCTTTGGAGACGGCATAATATCAGGGAAGGATAAGTGTGTAGTTTCTTTGACTGGCATCTACAAAGACGAGCGTTTCATAAAATTCACAAGTGTATGGAGGACTGACCTCACTGAGAGGAGGGGATTCACTGAGGGTAGCTTTATGATTGTTTATTGTCTATTTTGCCATTTATAAACTGAAAGAAGGCACTAAAGATGAGAATAATTTATACAATAAAAATATATTAAATGTATAGAAATGAATTTCTATAGGTTAAAAAAGTTTTGTGAAATATTTTGTAATGACTAATTGAGAGACTAAATGTATGCACTATCAGCAGATGATCAAATTCAAGAACTGAAAGTTGCACTCTCCCTTTTGTTGCCAATGATCCATTAAGAGCATCTGAGTTCCTACCAAAGTCTGATAAAGACTTCTCCCTCACTTACCTCCCATGATCTCCCTTCCATATTAGTAACACACTCTCATGGAGCACATCCCTTAATGAGTTGCCCTTGTGGGTATTTTTGGAAGACTTTTGGTTAATGCATTTTTAAGCTGATGGCTTTCAGAGACAAACTCATTCAAATGATCTAAAGGGAAGTTTTTGCTTTTATCTTGTTAAACAACCTGGGCCTGCCATGCAAATAGTTGAATAATTTTGTTCCTAGTTACTTACATGCAATTCTCAAAGGATCATTTAGTATTTTGACCAACCATGAGTAATTAGGACTTTCTTTTTGTCTGTTTCACAAGTAACTGAGGGTTTTGTGACAGCCAGAAATGGTATCGAGCCATGGAGAGATCTGTCCCAAGAAGCACTGTTCCTTTGAGGAAGAGAGAAGTATCTGGTTGGGGGGGTGAGGGGTGCAGACTTTGTTTCTGTGTACAGGGCAAAGAGAACCACAGGGAAAGATAATTAACAACTTTGAGCTCAACCAATTGAACTGCCTTTCTTGGGGGCTGCACCTGGACCAAGTTTATTTTTTAGCAATTATAATAATGATGATTTAAAAAACCTCCCAAAGCCTATATCCCACTTTCGAGCTGATGATGACATCAGCGTTGCTTGTGCCCACGGTGTTTAGAGAGAGACTTTTCGGTGATCTCAATAACCACTCAACTCTGGGTTCTATGCCTGCCCAGACTAAGCCCCATCGCCTTATTTCTGGGGTACATCCAGACCTGGCAGGGATTCTGCCACACTGTGCAGCAAACCAGCATGCAGGCTGGGATGGGAGAGCGAGAGATAGAGCCATCAGCAGTGATGGGGCTTCTTCCCAGTAAGAACATCGGAGCTCAGAATGAGGGTCTCTTTCCAAAACCAAGTGTTGTTCATCTTACGCTAAGCTAACTACCACCGTCTGCCTCGCTGCAGTCACCAAAACAAACACAGAAATGCAAAATTATTCATCTACCTATAGTCTTGAGGCTGCCTTTGCCAACGGAAGGGCTAGCAATGCATTTTCCCTCTGATGAAAGTTAAATCTGGGGGGACTTCCTCAGAATGCTCAAAACGTTAAAGGTATGTCCGTGGCTGCAATTCGCCAGTTTCAGGTCAAGGCCTACTTTCATCAATATTGCTGCCAGAAGTTTTCTGCCACCAGAATGCCATTCCTGATCCCAGCTCTATTTTTAGGCCACCATACTAACTTCTTTGGTTTCTCAACTGAGCATGCAACCATTTATTTAAAGGACTGTCATTAATGAGTAGATGTTTCCGCGGGTCGTGTGATGTGCTTTCCATTTAATATTAAGTATTGCTGTGGCTGAGTACAATCAAATTGAACCACCAACCCTTGGTTTTGTAGTAATATAATTATTTATTTTCCTAGTGTAGATGCTTCCAGATTAGAATTGGCATTTGCACTGATTTTTTTATGTAGATTTATATAAATATATATATACATATATATTTGCTTGAAGAATCACCAAGCAAATTGGTGAGAGGGTCTTTTCCTATAGAATTTACACCTCCATTTGTTGTGTTGTCTTGCGCTTCCCAATGTTGAGGTCTCTAGGGCTCCAACGAACTGGTGTATTTTGCAGCAAATCTGATGATTGTACGGATATGGCAGGAAAGTTACCCAGATTACATCTGGTGCAAATGCACTTGGAGCCTGGGGCCAGACCGGTGCTAACACTGCAAACTTTGTCCGGAGCTCTCTCCAATCTGAAGGCTTGCTGGGGGCGCAATGTCACCTTCCCATGCTGGGCCCTTTCGGAAAAGTGCCAGATCGTGTCACTGGTGCTATTTTTCATGCTCTGGTACAATGTGTAGCACCACGGGGGTCTCAGCTTTACCAAAATCAAAACCACACTTGTCAGCTAATTGCAGGGGCATTTGTTTTTTGCTCTCCTCCCATGGGATCTGTTGGCCATTTCTTTGCCGGCCTCTCCCTGCCCTCGCCCCCTCAGCCCCAAGTTCTTGGCTTGGCTCCGTCTGCTCAGTGAGCCCAGCTTTACGAAGCCGCACTCAGGTGCCTGTGAGCTGTCTTAGATCCTACTGCCAGCCCTTCCAGACTCTGAGCCAGGGAAAAGCCCTCCACTCCTCTGGCTCTCACCTCTGGTTTTCCCTCCTCCTTTTCCTCTGCTCTCCCCCTTCCATTTCTGTCTCATTCCATCTCTCTCTTTGTGCACCTCTCCTTTTCTCCTACTGGCCTGTCTACCTGGAGTGTTGCGTTCCTTCTGTGGTCTCTCATTACTCCCTCCCCTTCACTCTCCTGTCTCTCTACCCCCTTTAGTCTCTCTTCCCTTTCCCCCTCCTTTCCTGTCCTTTTTCTCTTCCTCACACCTCTGAACATCTCCTTGCCCATACCCCACTCTGAAATTCTTCTGTCCTATAAGGGCTCATGGCTGATTCAGACAGCAAGTCCATACACTGGACCGATGACACAGTTCCTGTGGGTCACCGTTTCACTTACACAGCCCAGAAAGCAAAGCTGAGCATGAGGCCCCAGACTGGAGCCAGCTCCAGCACGCCTCACCGAGCCAGCCTGCACCACTGCCCTCGCAGTGTCGATGCAAGTGCTCTGGGCCCCACGGCACCTGGGTGCCTCTCTGCCTGAAGGCTGGTCCGCAGTGAGCCCACTCCCGGCACCATCCTGTGGCTCTGAGGACACTTCCTCTCTACAAAGGCAGACTCTGGCCCCGAAATCATTCTGACAGCAAACCTCATTCTTCTCATTGAAGCCATGCCATCGCCTTGGTTTGGAGAGAGACATTTTTTCCCACTTAAAAGCTTCCCCCCCCCCCGCCATTTTCATGTGAAGCCCCCTCTGCTTTTCAGCTGGTGATTGCTCTGGTGAGATTGAACAGACTCGCTGGTAAAATAACATCTCTTTTTTTCCTGTCTTGGTCCTGCCTAAATCCCTACAAAAATATTTAAGGCAAGGACTCGGGCTAGTTCCTAAGCTTATCGTGGTCATTCGTCACTCCCAGGGGGAAACAGGGACATTTCTCTGAAAGCATATGGAGTGACATGCCGACAACTGATTTGCCAGAGATCTCCCTACAGAATTCTGTGGATATGCATTTTACTTCTGTGTGTATGTATGGTCTATGTGGTATGTATATCCTGTATACACATACTGCATTGGGAATGAATGAATGTGGATGGAAACCCACACACACACTCCAGTCTGTAAATATCCTTCCTCACTGAAAACTGTGCTTTGGAAATCATTTCTTGTACAGCTGTGCAGTTTCTTGTAGCAGCTGAGGACAAGCTAAGACAAGTGGATGAGTTAGACAAAGATCACCTGAAAGATGGAATACAGAATCTCCCTAGCAACTCGTGAGGACAGACAACCAAATGGCAAGGTTGACTCCCGATGGGATGGCAAACTTTTCTTCTCTCCTTTCGGAATTTGTGTTTCCTAAGTATGTCAAATTCTGAGTGCATCAGGCTGTACCCGTTAGATCCTTTCGATATGACAGTTTCGTGCTTCTCTCTGACAGGATGTTTCTCCATCGAGCTGTAGTGCAGGAGGGGAGGGAGGGGAAAATTCTCCTTGCCTGGGCTGGAGTTTACAGAGACACTGCACAGCTTACACTCCTGTTAAGTGTAAATATTCGACACTTCCATTCCATTTGTGTAAAAAATAAAGCACACACAATTATAAAATCAAGATGTATATTTCATACTCAGTGTGTCTGTGCATATTTATTGCGTTTCTGGTTGTCAGCAGTGGCCCCGTTGTAAGAATGCCTGATAGAGTGTTTATAAACGTGTCATGGTTTTGAGATATAAATATTAAAACATTTTCTACTTTATAGCAAATTATTTTCTCCCAAAGCATAATTTGTCTTGCTTCATAAAGAACAGAATCATCCATTTTTATTTTTATCAAATTTGTCTGATTTCAGAGCTAAAGTGTAGTTAGAGGAGGTTTGCTCTGAGAAGCCCAGGCAGTGCTGAGAGGAGCCCAAAGTGGTGCTTTTTCATATTTTTAACTTCGGTTACTATCTTGCCTGCTTTTCATCAGGATTTGGCCAAGGGTGAACAATATATGAAAAGATAGAGTTTTTTATAAGAGACTCTTAATCTCACAAAACAAGCTGAGGGTTGCCGGGGGGAGGGGGTTAGGGAGGGTGGTTGGGTTGTGGACATTGGGGTGGGTATGTGCTATGGTGAGTGCTGTGAAGTGTGTAAACCTGGCAATTCACAGACCTGTACCCCTGGGGCTAATAATACATTACATGTTAATTTAAAAATTAAAAAATTTAAATAAAAAATTAAATTTAAAAATAAAATCTAGGTTTTTTAGGGATGCCTGGGTGGCTCAGTTGGTTGAGCATCTGCCTCTGGCTCAGGGTGTGATCCAGGGTTCTGGGATCGAGCCCTGTGTTGGGCTCCCTGCTCAGTGGGGAGCCTGCTTCTCCTTCTCCTGCTCCCCCTGCCTGTGCTCTCTCTCTCTCCATCAAGTAAATATATAAAATTTTTTAAAAAAGAAAAAAGATAGGTTTTTTAAGACCCTCACATCTCTGTGGAAAAAAATCTATTCCCCAGTTTCAAAATTGTGAGATTCCAGGAGATACTAAAAATACAGAAAAAAAAATGTTCTTATCTAATACTTACAGTACAAAAAAAGGGCGCAATTGGAGAGGAGATGTCATTATTTATGTACCCTGGGCCACAAAATATACCAGCTCCAGAGATCTGAACATGCCAGAAATGTCAGGTTTAGGAACCTGAATCTGCCAGATAATATTCTAAATTCTTCCCGCGAGGTTAAACATATGCCTTGTCATATTGACATTTAGACAGCATAGGTCTGACAGCTTAAGGACCAAAACAAATACCTCCTTTGGAAGGAGTGAATTTCGCCGTTAAAGCAATCACTGCAGAGTATGTTTCGCTTCACCATTAACTGTCACATAATCAGGTCAGTCATTTGGGAAACGAGGCTTGGTCATAGAAGCCTGGCCATCACTGGGGGCCCACGGGAACCTCCACCAGGTGTCCTGTCACTGTCCCTGGTGCTTGGCAGCAGCGAGCGGAGACAGCATAAGAAGGCATTGACTGGGGGTAGCTGGGTGGCTCAGTGGGTTAAGCGTTCAGGGTCTCAGAGCCCTGGGATGGAGTCCCGCAGAGGGCTCCCCGCTCAGTGGCAGCTTCTCCTTTTCCCTTTGCTGCTCCCCTTGCTTGTGCTCTCTCACTCTCTCTCTCTGTCAAATAAATAAAGTCTTTTAAAAAATTTTTAAGAAAGAAAAAGAATGAAAGGCATTGACTGAGGCTACAAGCCCAATGCAAGCCTCAACTTTCAACAATTACTCAATTTTTAACACTGACACGGTCTCACCAGCCTTCGTATTAGTGGTAACACTACAC